ACATAGAGCCTGGTTAGCAATACCCTTTGGGGGCCATACAGCAGTCAGGTCATCAGGCCCCGACTGGACCCAGAAAGAAGCATAAATAACACTATCAGCCATGCCACAGTGATGAAATCAAATAACTGACACCCGGTAAAACTTATAAAATCCAACAGAAGGAAACAGATATTTCTATCCAGGATGCTTAGTAGAAAGGACAAGGACCACAGGAGGGCACACGGGACAGCTGACAGGTGCTCGGGGCGGCAGCAGCAGTACCAGATGGGCCACAAGACAGACAGGCAGTGCTCTGTGCTGATGGCAGTGAGAAAGCTCAGGCCTGAGATGTAGGCAAACATTGCCACAGCAGTGAAAAATATGTAGACTTTATTGGGGACAAAATCTAAGTTGAAAATTGAATCTAAAAAATATATAGTCTGGCAGCAGAAGAAGAGGAAGTTGGCCCCCACCATGTTGAGGCTGTAAACAGAGAAGGCATTCCTGTGCATGCCTAAGCCCAGTAGCCAGAGCACCACTATGTTCCCTGCCAGCCCCACCAGATTCACAATGGCTGTCAGTACTTCCAGGATTATGACCTCTGTATAATGTTGATAAAAGGCCAGATCACTTCTATTGATTGTTGTGAACTCAGCCTCCAAGCTTTGACAGTCATATCCATGTTCAGAAATGCTGTAGTTGTGGGCCTTGAAATAAAACAAGACTTGAGCAACTGCTCTATGACTCCTGACCCTGCAATCTCAGTGACTGAGAGTGGTCTACTCACCAGGGAGAAAGAGGTTATGACTTAGGCTCATGAAGGCAATGAGACCTCTTGTTAGGACAGAGTGAGGACACTCAAAGCTCTTGTAGAAGAAATGTCTAAGTGTGTCAATTTTATGAGGATAGACAGTGATTCTCTTTCCATTGTTTATTATCCAGGGCCCAAGTCTGTGTGGGAACACAATGGGGCTGTCAATAAAACTTAAATTCACAAATGAATGAATGTATGAATGAACTAATGAGGAGCTCAAGGGATGAAGAAAATTTGGATTGAATATAATATAAAATTTTTCTTAATAAAGAATTTTGAATGTAAAACAGAAGTCAGCACTTTCAACTGCACCACCAAAAAAACACATATGTAACAAAAACAAAATTCCATTTTGAAGCATTCATTCTGTGAAATGCTCTTGTGTGTTTGAAAGAATATTTTTCTGCCTGTAGACATCTCCTCTGCAGGTGGGAGAGGATTCAACATGAATGAAATTTCTCTGTATTTTAGAGGAGAAAGAAGCCATTTTGGGAAGGAGAGAGAAAGAGGTGGCCAAGGGTGTGAATAGAGATAAATGAGAAAGAAATACAGAGGGGCATTATTTACTGGTTTTCCTACAATTCGTGTAATGGAAAACCCACTCATTATCCGTGCATTTGATATGGAGTAGAGAATTCCTTACAGATCAAAGCATTGTGTAAGAGAATTCTCCTGGTGATGGTGCTGGTATGAAGTACTTAGTTCTATTTTACAAAGGGGTTTGGATGAAAAGAGGGAAGCTCTTGCAGAATTTAGGTGAGATTCACAAACCAACTCACACATAGATGAAGATGAGCAGCTGATGGGTGGTTACATGGCATTATCTCTTTTAATTCTCCTAATAGCCCTATGAGGGAGAGCTATGCTCTCTCCCATCTGGGATAAAGGAAAAGACAAGCACAAGGAAGTTCAATGACATGCTCCAGTTCTCATGTGCACAAGTGGAAGAGCCTGGATCTGGACCCACAGGTCTGTGTCAGAGTCTTCCCCTGGCCCCTGCCCTGCCAGGGTGGTTTTTCCTGTACATGTTGGGGGTGGTGGGGCAGGAAGCAAATAACTCTTAGGAACAAATATAAAATGGCAAATCATTTTATTTGTGTTTTATTAAGCTGGAATAGGCAAGTGTCACAAATAACAAAGAAATGAACCTTATCCAGTATGGAAGAAGAAGTAGAAACCAGCTGAGAATAGACCAGAGATTCCAGGAACTTTTTCTTGCCTCTGGACAGACCCAATCAGTCAATTCTTGCCAGGTTCAGCCTGGGCAGACTCACTCAAGAGTATCAAACCCACTACCCTTCAGTCAGTGGGCTGCCACTCAAACCCCTGAGTCAAACTGCTAGGGCTTGTCTCCCTTTTTAAACTCAAAACTCAGTAATGATGACTAGATCTGTCTGGGCTTTGTGTTTTTTCTTTGTAGTTGAAGTTCACTATTGTATCTTTGGCATTGAGCACATGTTCCTTAGACACCATCTTTTACAATACCATCCTTCAACACAGGAATAAGCTGAGGCCAAAAGAGACAACAGATTTCTGTGAGATCTCAGGGTGAACAGCAGTTCCAATGCCAGCGCTGTCTCCTGGAGCCCAGCCTAAAGCTTTAGCACTGTTCTCTGCCTCATTGTGGGGTGAGCACCTGAGCAAAATCTTCACGGAAGCTCAGAACATGAGAGAACTGCAGGCAGCAGAAAATACTAGTTGGTCTAAATATTGATTTAGTGTATATAAACTAAAAATGTAAAGTCTCTCCTAATCTCAATCACCAATAGTAACCCATGTTTACAGTTCTCATTTTAACTCTTTTACAAATTATTTTACAGCTTTGTGTAATTGTCATGAAATTTCCTTTCTAGTTGTGACTTACTGATATCAACAATTGTGTGTATTGTGTTCCCTTTTAACAGGTAAAGAATGTAGCACACCACAGGCACAACTTATCACCTCTCTCTCTTTCTCCAAGACATTTGTTAGCTAGATTCTTTTCACATGATGTGGGGACAACCAGTCTTTTCAGCTTTAGCTCCTATGACTTTTTTTCATGTACTCATGCTGCAGCCAAATTGAGGTACATGACATTTCCTTAGAAACTTAACTATGAAGCATTTGAAACAATGAGAGAAACTGACTCACTCATTTCTGTGTTTACCGAAATCTACTAGTACTGTGTGCCTATCCTTTGCCAGATAGTGATCCGGGCAGAGAAGATTCCATTGACAAATGCTACCAGAGGACCTTTCCCAAGCCCATTTTCTTGGTCTGTGTTTGTCTAAGGATATCATTTCTCCTAAACCCAGAGAACCCAATGAGATTAGAGGTAGGCCAACTTATTTATTCAGACTTTTACCCTGTAGAATGCCCCAAACCACAGCACTAAGCATGAATCTAAAGGGCCTATAGTCTGGGAGAAACATAGGGAATCTTTCTTTTCTCCCAATCAGGTAGAATAATCTTACATAATAACTAGGTTATATGCAAATTCACCATCACTCCAACACATAAGATGGCTGCCCTCACGTGGTCAAAGATGGCCATCCCAATGTGGACACAAGATGCCCGGCACAAGATGGCTAGCAGAAAGGGCACTTGTAGGTGATCAGGCCTGCAGGGTGGGCAGTTGGGGGGGGGGACCCTGGCCTGCAGGGGAAGGCAGTTGGTGGGAACCAGGCCTGGAGGGAGGGTAGTTGGTGGGAAGTAGACCAGCAGGTGAGAGCAGGTAGGGGCAACAATGCCTCTAGGGGAGGGCAGTTGGGAGTGACCAGGCCAGCAGGGGAGGGCAATTAGGGGAATCAGGCCTTCATGGGAGGGCTGAAGTGGGTGACCATGCCTCCAGGGGAGTGCAGTTGGGGATGACCAGGCCTGCAGGGGAGGGAAGTTGTGGGCAACCATGCCTGCATGGAAAGGTAGTTGGTGGCAACCAGGTCAACAGGGGAGGGCAGTTAGGGGTGACCAGGCCTTCAGGAGAGGGTAGTTGAGGGTGACTAGGCCTGCAGGGAAGGGCTGTTGTGGTTGACCAGGCTGGCAGGGGAGGGCAATTAGATTTGACCAGGTTGGCAAGGAAGGAAAATTAAGGCCATTCAGGCCAGCAGAAAAGGGCAGTTGTGGGCAACCAGTCCTGCCGCGGAGGACAGTTAGGGGCAATCAGGCCAGCAGGGGAGCAGTTAGGCATTTATCAGGCTGGTAGAGAAGTGGCTAAGGGGTTATCAGCCTGACAGGCAGAAGTAGTTAGGGGCAATCAGGCAGGCAGGCAGGTGAGCAGTTGGGAGCTAGCAGTCCTGGATTGTGAGAGGGATGTCCTACTGCCCCTTTAGGGCCTTAACAGGTAGTAGGACATTCCTTGAGGGGTCCCAGGTTAGACAGGGTGCAGGCTGGGCTGAGGCACACACACACACACACACACACACACACACACACACACACCATGCAGAAATTTTGTGCATTTGGCCTCTAGTTTTTGAATGACTACCTTTGGTTTAGGATAAGAATTCTTTTGTTTTAACTTATTAAATATTATCTCATAAGTCAATAATATATTAGAGGCTTCACATGTATTAACTGTTGAAGTTTATGAAATATTTGTCATATTTGGCACCTGGCAGAATCCTTTTTATTAGTTTTCTAATTTATTCCCCACTATTATGCTATGTGTAGATAATTTCACAGCATTTGACAATGAATTAACTGAGGCTTGGAGAGGAGAGCTGTAGAACCCGGACTTCAGACCTGGATTTGTTTGATTTGGACAGGGATTCTTTTTGTTGCAATGAAGATTGTAAAGAAAAAGCATTCAATAAAGAAATTCAGATCACGTGAGAAATTTATTGGTAATGTCAAGAACGATGGAGAGCTATAATGTTTGGACTAATGCTTCCTCTGAGAAAAACTTGAACCACCAGATAAAAAACAACCTATTAGAAGAGTTTGGGGAATCACTGAAGCATTCTGAGGCTGAGAGAAGACCAGATACTTTCCATTCGTGGGGAATCTGGCACTAAACCATTCGTTGACGATCTGTTTCTGGGTCGGGTTTTCGTATGTAGCAGAGCAGCTCCCTCGCTGTGATCTATTGAAAGTCAGCCCTCGACACAAGGGTTTGTAAAAAAAAAAAAAAAAAAAATAATAATAAAAAAAGGCTAGATACTTTCCAAGCCTGGCAGGGCAGCAGTGAGTCTCAAACTTATTTCAGACAGATCAGGACAGAGGCTCTTCATCACTGCCCCAGACTGCTTCCCCACCTGCACAGGGTTTCCCCAGGAAGGCTTTTTCCAGGTTCATCCACCTCAGGAGTGTCCTGCAGAGCCCTCTGGAGAGCCAGCCTCAGAGGGTGTCTCTGCTTCTGACATCGCTGCCTGAAGGAGCTAACGAAGAAGGTAATGAAGTGGTTGGCACAGCTGTTGACACAGGACAGAAGAAATACAGTCATGTGAATATGAAAGAGGGGACGATATTTATTTGGAAACCAGACTATGAGGAACCAGTTGATGACAATGGGCAGGCTACAGAGTTTGAAGAGCAGTACTGTGAGCAACACAGTCATGTATTGCCTTGTGGGGGGCACCCGTTGAGAGCCACACATCAGTCTGGTCATCAGGGCCAGGCTGGACCCAGAGAGAAGCACAAATAACAAAATCAGCCATGCCACAGTGATGAAATCCATAACTTGACACCAAACACGATGCACACTCCAATTCGGGAAACTACAGTAGTTCTCTTTCAGCATGCTCCATAGCAGAGACAGGGCCCAGAGCAGGGCACACATGATAGAGGACAGGTGAGTGGGGTGGCGGCAACGGTACCAGTTGGGCCACAGGACAGACATGCAATGCTCCGTGCTGATGGCGCTGAGAATGCTCATGCCTGAGATGTAGGCAAACATGGCCACAGGCGGGAGAAATCTGAATATTATTTCAATGACAAAGTTGAAAATTGAACTTAAAACATGTATAATATGACAGCAGTGGAAGAGGAAGTTGGCTCCAGCCAGGTTGAGGATGTAGACAGAGAAGGCATTCCTGCCCATTTGGAAGCCCAGGAGCCAGAGTACCACCGCGTTCCCTGCCAGCCCCACCAGGGCCACAATGACTGTCAGTATTTGCAGGATTATTTCCCCTGTATAATGTTGATAGAAGTCCTGATTACTTTCATCGGTTGGTGTGAGCTCAGTCTCCCAGGCTGTGACAGTCATATCCATGCTCAGAAACTTTGCAGTTGTGGGCCTGGAAACAAACAAGACTTGAATACCTGCTCTATGTCCACTGACCCTCATGGCCAACCTGTCTGTGGCGAATGGAGATTCCAGAGATCATAAATTTAAAATCTTAAAAATATTTGTCAACCACCACCCTGAAAAATAACATACATTCCATCCTCAAGGCAGTTATGATGAGAGATATTATTTCTAAGATGTGATACTCTGGAGGGGGGTGCCAACATTTCAAATAAATAAGATGTAAGAACAACTTAATCTAATCACAGTGAGATAGAAAAAGTCCTTGGAAAAAGAACCAAAGAACAAAAATGGATTCTCTTTATTTGATGTCAAATTTCATTTTTAGCATCTAACCTCTGCTGCATTCTTGGAGGACACATCGCTTTGCCTCACCACTGGGCTCCCTTTCCCTCTGCCTCCAAATTTCTTTCAGGAAAAGTGACCCTGACAGCTGATTGGAAGACAGGAGGCGGGTGATTGAGGTTTAATTCTTTGCCTCTCTGCTGTCAGGCTGTGAGCTTGCCATGGTGGTGTTACTCTATCTAAGGAGAGAGCTCCTGGCTGTGGGCCTTTATTTTTTGGGTCATAGTGAAGATCATTGTTACAGCCACAGACCTCCCTGTGTTCTGTAAACTTAACTAACCTTGTACACTTCATGATGCCCAAGGGCAATAGCTCTCTATTATGACTAATCGTTAGGTGTCTCATATTGCTCATCCTTTCTACACGTTCTTTTTTCAGTTCTCTTCAATTGCCCTATTTGTTTGTAGCCTTGTGTTTTTGGCTGGTACAGGAAAGGTACCTACATATAACAAACAAACTCATAGAATAGCAAGGTAATGTGTGAAATCTGAGGTTACTAACATCAATTCAGGTTTGAAAACAATGTATGTGAAGCACATAGGATTTGGGTTCTCACAGCCTAAGCTACCAGCACCCAAAGCTTCCCTGAGGGAACTTCTTGTTTCTGGACTCTTCTTCATGAGTTCTCATGGCTCCTTGCACGCTAGACACCAAGATGCACTCATGACCACGTGGACTAAGAGAGAGAAAACAAAATTGTCTTTTAGAGAATATAGTTCTGAGCTGACTCTTATCTGAGCACCATCTTCTGGTTGAAGGTGGTGAGTGGAAAAGAGGAGTTTCCGAGGGATTCTTTTTGTTGCAATAAAGATTGTAAAGAAAAAGCATTCAATAAAGAAATTCAGATCACGTGAGAAATTTATTGGTAATGTCAAGAACGATGGAGAGCTATAATGTTTGGACTAATGCTTCCTCTGAGAAAAACTTGAACCACCAGATAAAAAAACAACCTATTAGAAGAGTTTGGGGAATCACTGAAGCATTCTGAGGCTGAGAGAAGACCAGATACTTTCCGTTCGTGAGGAACCTGGAGCTAAACCATTCGTAGATGTAAGGTTTGAGGTGCAGGGAACTGATCACCAAGGAGTTTTAAAGTAAATTTTATTCCCCAGTAATGAGAGGGACTCATATGGAGGTAGAGAAGTCAGAATTAAAGGAGTTGGGGAGTGGGGATGGACCCAGCCGGGCTGCCACCTGGACATGGAGGATCAGCAGCACGTGGCTGGTCGGGGGCATTTTTAAGGGGAGGAACAGGAAAGGGTTGGACCCAGGGCAGAACAGGAAGGGGTGGGCTCCAGGACACTTTGGCAGGCGCTGATCGATGGCTCAATGTCTTGGGGATGTCTCTGTGACAGGTGCCAGCAATGTCATAACTCAGCCCACCAGTTGGGAGGAGGGAGAACCTTATATTCCAGACTCCTTGATTATATTTAAAAAAATTGAAAGTCTGGACAGGATTCAGGGGTTTTGCAGATGCTTGCATCGGTTCTGGGCTTCCCCCCCCTGCCTCCCCGGCCTCTTGGTGATAGGGGACAGCGAAATCATCTAGCTACTTCCTTGCTGACCAGGGGGCGAAGAAAGGGGGCAGAGGCCAGGGTCAGGCAGAGATGGGTTCGGTTGAAGAGCAGCCGAGTGTAGGGATGGAGCAGGAGCTGGCTTATAGTCACTGGAGACATTGCAGCGATCTGGGAGCAGATGAATTTGAGGAGGCAGGGAGCTAGGAAAAAAAAGACACAGTTGAGAATTAGGGGCCCTATCAGAGGTAGGATCCAGGTAGCTAAAGGGCTTTGGAGCCAGCCGAAAAGAGAGTTGTCCTGGGAGTGTCTTGCACATAATTCTTCATTCAGCTTAGCCAGGGTCTGCACGTTCTGTTCACCACTCTGGACTTGTTGATGTAGTAGCATCATTCTTCTTGAAGGAACATGCAGGTTCCTCATCTTTCCGCAGTAAGAAGGCCTAGGGCCCTTCCGTTCTGTAAGGCTATTTGGGCAACTGATGTTACTTGCTGCTGCAGGGGAGCTGAAGAGGTAGTGGTAGACTCCAGGGCTATCTGGAGTTTGTCACTGAAATCCTGAGCAGAAATTATGCTGTTACACAATCCCCCTCGCCACCCTCCCCAAGCTAGGCCTATTGAAGCAGTGATACTTACCCCCAACACAACAGGGAGGAAGGCGGCCCAGTGGGTCGGGGGATGGGATGAAGGGAGCAACCAGGCGAGCTCCGACTCTCCATACAAGGTTAGTTGGGGAACTACTGTGACCATGAAGCAAGGCCCAGGGTCAGAGGAGTTTATGCAGTTGCTTACGGTGCCGTTGCACCAAAAGAAGGTGCCCGGGCTGGCCTTGGTGGGACTGGCTGTGGTATGGCTTTGGGTACAGTTCCAGGTGATCCATCCCCCAGTTACCGGGTTGCTGGTCTGGTAGCATATCTGCGAGGGCAAGCTGGGTTCTGGAGTTTCGGGTTCCCAGAGGGGAATGCCAGCCAGGGGAGGCTGACACTCAGGGTGTCCTTGGGTTCCTGGAGGAGTCATGAGTGGGATGGTAGCCAGCAAAGATCTTTGGAGAGAGACACATAAAAAGCAGTGCGAGACATTGGGCAGAGTGCGGGTCTCATTAAGGAATAGTAAAGTGTGCTGGATAAGTTGGAGCCAAGAAAACAGGACTTCTACCCAGGGGGAATCAGGCAGCTTCCCTTTAAGGGACTGTTCAGCCTGTAGGATGCTTTTGGAGAAAAAGGGGCCAGACCTGACCTCATTGTAGGCATCATGGATGACACAACCTGACCAGCGGGATCCCCCATAGGTGTTGACATGTCAATTACACCTGTCTGGGTTCCACTGGTTGTAAGCAGAGTAGGCATATGGTCAGCCACTGTTGGACACGGAGGTTGACAGAAATCAGGATCTCTGACTGGTGTCTGACCAGAGGGCTGTCCCGAGATCCTACTTGCCGGGTGATGTGTGTGCTGTCCTTGTCATAGGTTTCACGGAGGTTGCCCAGGCTGGAAGGAGGAGGAGGGGGAGGGCGACTAAGGCGGCCTTAGTGGGGTCCAACACCTCACATTTATAGAAATGATGCTGCTCTGGGGTCCTCTTTAGTCTGGAGAGGTGATGCCACTATGGATCGCCAAGTAGTTTGGCTGCAGTGGGGGGAACTGAGTTCCCGGGCTGGAGGGGTGATCCTTGGGAGGCTTGGTCAGTTGGTTCTGGCCTGGGCAGAAACCTGTCAGCATGTTCTTGGAGCAGCTGCTTGGGGTGGGGCAGCTGCACACGTGGAGCAGAAAGAGAGGCATTCAAGGTCTCTGAAAACCTCGTGGCAGAAGTGCTTTGCTGCAGTTTGGGTGGAGGCTTCCTGGAGCAGCTGCCTGGGGTGAGGCAGCTGCACACGTGGATCGGGAAGAGAGGCACTCAGGATCTCTGAAAACTTCGGGGCAGAGTGCTTTGCTACAGTTTGGGTGGAGGCAGCAGGAAGGAGAGTGGCTGGGTTCAGGGGAAGGAGAGATCAGGATCGGTGTGACAGAAGACCCTGTGGTCTCTGATGGAGAACACCTGTAAGGGTAGCTGGAGGCAGATCTTCTGGGCCTCCTTGATGAGAAGAGCAGCTGCAGCCAGAGCCCAGAGGCAGGGCTGCAGTCCCCAAACTGTGGGATCAAGCTCTCAGTGCAGGTAGGCTATGGGGGTGAAGGCTGACCCTAGGGGCTGGGTGAGGATCCCAATGATGGAAAAACATTACCAGTGGAGGCCCAGCTGTATGACTTTGAGACTTGTAGTGCTGGGAAGGTCTCTGGGTAAGGCCTGGCCAAACAGATGACTGTCTCTGAAACCCCTGGGGCAGGATTGTCCAGGTGAGTGGGTCCTGTAAAAATTCTTGTAAACAGTTAACTTTAGAATTCATTTCCTTCCCCCCCCATTACTGTATGCTATTGAAGACATTTAGAAAAGGAAGGGAGAGGAGGGAACAGAGCATTTTTGCCAGTTCATATCCAGGAAAGAGATCATGGCTGAAAAAGAGAGTGCAAAGACAGGTATCCCACACCATATCCACCAGGAAGGAGACCTGCATACCCTTACTGTGAGCTTCACCTGGGGCTTTTGGTGGGGGTGGTGGGGTGGTGCCGAGTCCAGACATCTGTCCAGCGGCGGCGGGTCATGATCTGGAAGGACAGCCCCTCCATGTGCAGACATAGAAGGCCTGTCGCCTTTCCAGGGACCACTTTTCCAGTGGCCGCTTTGACCACTGGCTGGGCAGGGCTTGGTCGGAGTACGGGGTTGTGGGCATCGTTTAGCCAGTGACGTTCATTTCCACAGTTGAAGCATCCTCCAGGTGTCTCCTGTCATTGCACCCCCACCACACACAGTTGTGTGTGATTGCCATTGGCCCCAAGGTAGCAAGCAAAGGTGTGGGTTTTTGGCAGACTCAAGTCCTATAGAAGGCGGGTTTTACTCTGTCCTGTTTCTCATGAGCATTAAAGCCTTACATTGTGTGAAAGGATCTCTTACCTGGGGAGGGGGACTGGCTGTAGACCGGAGAAGGTGTGACAGGCCCAGCCTGAAGAGGCGGGACTTGGTTGGAGAGGGGAGAGTCACATTGTGCAAAGATGAAGGCGGTCCCTTGGGAACT